AAATATTAAATTTTAATTAAATCAAGTTTTATTTACAAGTTTTGGATGTTAATAAATAAATTTTATGTGTGAACTGCCCATTTTACAATGATTTATCAACTTTTGCAATAAGAAACTACTAATAACTAGAAGAAATGATTTGTATGAAATAGGAAATGATATACAATCAAGTATAATTAGTTTTATTCATTTAGAAAATGTGTGCCCCCAAATGCCCTGGTAAGGTCGAGAATGAGGAGAGTCCACTCTCTTCCTCTTCAAATGCTCTCACATGGACAAGTGCATACAACCACGGAGAGTTCACCTAGAGGAGTTGGGAAACCTCGATTACAAACCAATGGTGTACGTGGGCTTCAGTGTCCTGAAGGAGTAAATGGTGTATGAACATATTGTTAGTCACCAGCTACCATGGGACTGCATCACCTGACGTTGCTCCACTGCCTTGTGGGTCAGACTTTTAGATTGAAGGCTCCGGGGTGTGGCTCCCTAAGAAAATCACGTGCTTCGGTTTGTTCACCCGAGCGGCATCCCAACCCTCACACAAGTGGAACGATTTATGTGGCGTATAAATATTTGGTTCCTCCTTCTAGCAATATTTATGTGTTTAAATAAATAAGGAAGTGTACGCAATGCAGTGTCTAGTACTATGTCAAGCTCAAAAGGGTTATTCTAACTTCCGTGCAAATCATTTTGTTCATTTATCTTGAGTCACATTTTGACCCTAATAACTATTCACTTATTAATCTTTACTGTTTTTATATGGGTATATGTGTTTTTATTGCTTATCGTACTCATTACATGTATGTAACTTAATTTTATCTGACTATAAATATTGAGTCATGCTATAACAAAACTAGATGGCTTATATATATTCTCTGCTTTGCTTTCCCGCTTTTCATTATGAATGTTTATCTGGACAAAAGAGTGCCTGAATTATATTCATTCAACCCAACCTAAATTTGGTTTCTTGTTATCGCTGTCACATAAACGAGATTAGTGTAGGTAATATACGAAGTTAAGTATAAGATTTATGTTCATAGTACTTTCATACACCCATTCAGATCGGAGTCAGACACTAGGCCGCAAAAGATATTTATATGGAGCCCTGGAAATGATTTTCGTGATGTTTGTGATTCATTAGCTATGCGTTTTCATCTGCTTAGGTTATTAATGGACGTATATAAATTCGAATTGTAGTCACCCAGAGTCGAAGTCACAGACATTACTATTAAATTATCTTGTTGTAACTGATTCCTTAGTTTAAACTTAGATGATTCTTTTATGTTGTCAACTACGTGGGATCTATATAGGTGTAGATTTGCTTTTAAACTGTCTGATGTATTCTGATATTAAATAGGGTTAAAATACTTAGCTTAGCATGTATATAACCAGATTCGTCGATAAACCTATACACCCTTAAGAAATAGTAAACAATCAATATATACTTTTCAAATGGTAATTCAGGATACACTTCATCTGACTGAACAATACTAAATGACAAAACTGACAAAGTATGTTGTTTATTATACTTTCATAACATATTACTATAGATTCTAATCAAGCCAATCGTTATGTTTATACTACTAATATTCCATAAGTCTTTCATCAACCTTCCTGATGGACTTCAATAAATGATCATTTCAAAGATTCGTCGAGTTCATAAATTTTGGAAACTATTTTTAACTCCATTTATCTTAGTGGCAGATTTTTTTTTCACAAATATGAGGGAAGTAAAAACTTCTAAACTAATTCACTACAGTCACAAGACTCCAGTTTTGTTGTTGTTGATATAATAATCGATAAACCATGGGAAGTACTAAAAATAGATTTTGTTGGATACCTTGTTTCATGGTATGATTATGATAATTTCCATCAGTTTAGAGAAATATTTATTTTTCGAAGAGAAAAAAGTGATTGTAATTCATACACAATAATCTTCAATGATCAACGAACTGTTAACCTGACTCCCATTATAAATCATTGTAACCTAAAGATTCACTACCACCAAAATTATTTAAAACTTTACCAGTGGAGTTCAACCAGATCTGTTGTGAGATATCAACTCACTGAAGACAATGGTGTAGGGTGGCGCAACTTCGTGGATTGGTTGAAGTTAGACATTAACACCGTTGGATGCCGACCGGCTCAGTGGTCTAGTTGGTTAAGCGCATGGCGCGAGACTGATAGGTCCTGGGTTCGGATCTCGTGATGCGGGATCGTGGATGCGCACTGTTGAGAAGCCCTATACTAGGACGAAACGGCCGTCCAGTGCTTCCAGGTTTTCCATGGTGCTCTAGTTTCAATTGACTCATGATTTCAATCAGTGAAATTTCTAAAATCTCCACTAACCCCCTTCTGAAAATATTTGTTGATCATGAAATAACTGTTAAAGTTTATTTCTCTAAGGATTAGTTGAAACTTTGGAAATACTTTTAACTAGGAAACAATTTATTGTTAATTGAATAGCTAATGAATATTTCATAATTGATTATTTACTGGATGATGACCAACTTCATATTTGTTTAGTTATATGTCCTGGTGTAATTCTATTGATTACGTTGTAATTTGGACTCTAGTTAAACTGGTTCTACACTGTTTGTAATATGCTGAATTATTAGTGAACTGAAAGTAGGTGACAAGGAACGTATGAACTTTGGTTTTTTGCCGTAGAACACTTGATAGAATTCAATTTTCAAACAAGACATCAGTCCCTACACAGAAACCAGTCAATTACGAATCTCTCAGTACTGTAGGAAACTAGTAGTAGTAGTAGTAGTAGTAGTAGTAGTAGTAGTAGTAGTAGTAGTAGTAGTATTAGTAGTAGTAGTAGTAGAATAGTTCAGTGGCAGCGTCTTAGGTTGTAAGTTATAATAAAGATTTAGAATAAATAGTATGAATATTATTACATTTTTGTGTAACTTAGCCGACGAATATTTACAATGTTTCTAATTTGTTTTGTTTTTTCTAAAACATTTTTTTCCAGCAACTTCATATGAATGTAACAGTTTCAGAAGTTGATGGAGGAAGTGCTGATTCCGGACAAGGAGCTAGTGAAGAAGAACCTGTGAATCATGATTTATCAAAGCGTGAGTTATCATTATAATTTCTTTCCTATATGAATATAGTCTCTTAGTTGGAACCTAACACTTAATTATACTAATTAAATCTCATAAAACTCCATATAAAGTATGGTGAAACTAATTTATGGACGACTTTTCAGTGTCGCTAAAATGGCCTTGAGAATGTTCATCTACTGTCTAGGTCAAAATATGGGTTTTGAAACAGTATGAAGGATAAGGATTATGATTTACAGTTGATAGTTAAGGATAGGGATTAGATTAAGGGTTTTCATCACGAACTGACATCAGCTAAAATGCCAAGACACTATTTAGCCAAGTGGATAAAGAATTTCACGCCGAAATTCAAGACCTATTATCGTAAATCTGATTGGTTCGTCCATATATCATAGTCTCGCCTAAAATATTATTTTTAAATCATTCGTGACATTTATTTTTAGTTAATTATAATATAAACACACTAATTGTTCTACTATTTTCAAGGCATTATTTAGTTAAAGTCAAAACTCATTTGGTGTTGTTTACTTGTATCTTCCTATGGTCATTTCGTACTGCAATTGATCAGTCGTAAATAACAATGGAAAGATACAACTATATAACACCAAGTGCATTTAAAACTTCATCCCATTGCACAAGTAAGTGGCTATCAGGACTCAGTACCTAAGTTGGTAACACGATGGCATTTGAAGCGAAAGATACTGGGTTCGAGTCCCAGAGTGAATACCAAATCTGTGATGCAGGTACATCCGGCTGACGAGTCCTGAATAGATCGAAACGCTTGTCCTTGATTCCACCGCTGGCCACTATCCATCTTTGTTTTGAAGGACAATAACATCTATTGCTTTCTTGCATTAAAACATTTTATGAATGATGTATACAATGTACACCCATAGTGAAAAACCTACATAACACATAACAGAATGATATGACTTTCAAGTTATTCGTTCAAGAAATTATCTTACAGAAACTGTACAATGCAAACAGGCGAAAAACTATTATTATCATTATTATTATTGCCAATATTATTTTGATTGTTTCTTTGAAAAATAAATGAACATCTTTTTCCGACTAATTTGGAATTTCATTTATTATTGTCACATTCATCAATTAGAAAAAAAACTTTTTTTGTGTGTGTATAAAATTTGTCAGTATAACCTACTTATTTCTGCTTATAAGTAGATTTTACAAGTTGACAGAAATTTTTTTCTTTTTTTTTAAAAAAAAGAAGCTTTAACAGAAAAGTTTTATAGTGAAAGTACACATTTTTCTTCTTTTTCATTCGTATCTATAAATGAACTAGATTTAATGTTTATTATGGAAAAAAGGTAATTGATTGTTTAATAGTGACAGTTATGAAGTTGTACCTTTTCTTCCTTAGTGAAAGAGAGAAGATTGACTAAAGTGATATATAATATAATTCTCTACCATGTTTCTATGCAATATCATAGTTCAGGGTTTATTAAAACACTTTTTTTCCAAATGATGACTCCTATAAACTTGACTATGAACAGGTGAATTGACGAGTGAAGATATCTGACTTGTAAATTAATCGGAAGCATAAATGAGTACGAATGAGTAAGAAATTCATATAAATCTTGTAGAAGTTTATCATCTAGTATTTTGCATATATACATAGACCATACATAAATTTTTATGTTCATCCGTATTGTCAAAATCCTTGAATATAACCAATGTATTTGGAGAATGACTAACAATGAAGTCTAGAACTTAGTAAAAGTGCATGTCCTCACTTTTAATAGTACATCGTGAATTATATTAGGAATAAAGAGTGATATAACATAATTTTCTACACATAACACGAGCCTTCCATGTCAGTACATTGTAATGTTCAATGATCATCAAATAAAATTCATTGGTTTCACTTATAAATTTATTGATTGGTTCTTTTTATTCATATTTCAGTTCGTTTAAAATATACACGTCCTTATAATTCAAAAGAACTTTTACTAACCAAAACACAATGTAGTCCAATATCATCATCTAATGGTTGCCTGATTGATAGTCCTATAAATAAAAATGAGAATCATTGTTCTATAAATGAATCAAATCTTTGTACACAGACTAATTTACCTACTATGAATACATTTACAAATCATCGATCATCATTAAATAAACAATTTATTTATGCAGTACATAATAGTAATTCAATTAATTCACATCGTCAATCATTAGTTTCAAATGATATATTACAACCTAGATGGCGTAAACCATTATTTAGTAATACTGATTTAGGGCATCATAATCATTTATTTGATGAATTTCCATTAACAAAAATATCAACTAAGAACCATTCATTAACACTTCCATTAAACAATAAACCATCCGATGATTTTGAACAAAATCATTCAACAAATCCTCATATTGATCTAACTAAATGAAAGTTTTATGGTAACAAACAATAAAGATATAATTATTTATACTGGCTAACTCTATTATTATCATTGCCATATTCTGTATTTATATTGTATTCTCTAAATTACTGGAGTATGATCTAGTCAGTTTACTTATATAAAACATGTCAAATCAACATAACAATATTATAATACATTCCAGTATTTGCATTTATTTTCAAGTTACTTTAAATTTTAATACGAATTATCTTTTAATTATCTTTATTACTAATTTTTACTAATACTACTTATAAAGTTTATTTATCTTACATTCTATATTCATTCCATAATTAAACAGAACTGATGAAATACAATTTACTTTGGTTATTTCTTGTTTAACTGTAAACAAATTTATGTATTGAAGTATGTGTGTGTGTTTCTTTTCATTTTTACTTTCCAATATCGAATTCCTTTAATCAATATTAATCAATAAGTGGAATCAATCAGTTGTGATTGTTCTTGTCAATATTACAGATAACCTACTGAATTAAACATTATCCGAGAAGATCAGTGAATGTAAAGTAGTTCAAATAGTCATTAGAACTTATCAATTTCCATGAACAGCATTATACGAATCAAAATTTTATCTAAATGTAAACTATTTACTAACGATTGTATTACAATTCTGTGTAATTTGATTCAGTTGATGAATGAAGATCGTATATAATGTCACTTAAAGCAGTCAAGTGAGACATTTCCATTTTATTATCTTTCTTTCTTTACGAAAAAAGAACAATCCTGACCCTTCTTTATGGGAACTATATATATATATATATATATATATATATATATATATATATATATATATATATATATATATATGAGATACAATTTTACTCTTAACTTAAAACTGTATCCATTTTACTCCTTTGATTGTTTTGTATTTCAAATTAGAACTGATAATTCCATGAATACGAATGTTGTATTTGAAATGAATAAAACACAAGAGATTTAAAGCTTTTGTGAATACAATGACTATTTATTATTATTTGTAACAATTTGTATTATTGTTTTATTCATATTCATAATTATATTGAATCATAATATAGGTTATTTGATTGAACGCTTTGATTTAATTGAGAAACTTGAATGGTTTGAAATTCATTGTTTAGATTCGTGGATGGACTCCATTGAATATTCTCGAAGTACAACATAATGTCTATTCATTTCTTACAGTTTTTCTAAGGTTTTTCAATTGATTCCGGTTTATCATAGGAATTAATATCAAAAGAACATAATTAGTTTAAGTACTGATACTATGTAAACACTAAGTGAATTTTGATAATGTAATAAGAAGACGAAGATTATCAGAATTATGTGATATATAAGCGCAATACATTTCGAACAATCTGATCACACATATACTTGTTAAGAGCATTTATATATCAAAATAAAAGGTCAACTAGACTGGAAATGGGGTAAGAGGAGATAAGGATACTAGTAAGAGTAATAATAATGTGAACGCAATTCGAAACCTAATCACTCTGAATAATAAGTCAATATCACCAGGGTAGGTTTAAGGTAAGAACAAACTGATTTTAAACACACAAAGAATCTAATGTTAGAGAAAATTAACCATGATTCATCGACGAAATGCAAACATAATGAAAGTTGGTTAAGTGCCTGGCGCGAGACTGATAGGTCTTGGGTTGGAATCTCGCGGGGGGGGGCGGGATAGTGGATGCGCACTGCTGAGGAATCCCATACTAGAACGAAACGGCTGTCCAATGCTTCCAGGTTTTCCACGTTGGTCTAGCTTCAATTGACTCATGATTTCAACCAGTGATAATGAAAGTATGTTGTGAATGTAAAGAAGAACAGAATTCATACAAATAAAATGTTAATAGTAATTAAAAATATAGGTTCATAATATTAAATAACCAATAATCACTATCTTTAGTTATGAGCAACGAATCTAATAGTTTTAATGATCTACAGTTGATGTGAGAACTTATAACTGTTGTTTCAGAAATTCTTATTCACACTACCAGTTTCTTATGTAATGAAAAGAATTTAACATTTGTATCAATGTAATAGCTATCTCATATCCATTTCAATTATAGTCTCTTGTGTGATTTATACAAGTAACAACTATCAAAAAAATTAATTGAATAGTGTGACTTATAAAAGAGATGTTGATAATGTGAAACCTGAAATTTATGGGTTGTCCACCAACAAAGTATTTGTCATAAATCTTCTAACCACAATTTTGTCAATGATATGAAAAGTTGTGGTGTATAATACCCTATAATATACTAAAAAGGTGGAATAACTGTAATATCATGCAGATTTTAACATGTGAAACATTTTCATTATTAAATAGTTCATGTTGGCTTTTCACGTTATTTTTGTATATAATTTTAAGTAGCTACCATTGATATTGCTTTAGTAAGTGGAAAGATTGTTTAAAGGGATTAGATTTCTAAAAAGAATCAAGTTTAATGAAGTATCAGTAATAATATTAACAAAGTCGACCAGATTATATTGAGTAATCTAATGAATTTTCTAAACGGTTAGCCATATTAAGCTGTCATATATTTAAATGAAACTAGAGATTATACAAGTTATTAGGACCCATTATTCTCCTGATAGAAATTGTGAATCTTTACGAGGGCGAAGTAATTGAACTAATGATCTCAATCATTGAAATTACTATAATATCCACAAAAACCTCTCTGATATGAATCAACATATGCTCACTGGTGACTGGGTTCAAGAGGTATTTCCTGGAGTTCCAGTGACAAGCAATGACCAGTAAAGTTCAATCGGGTCTGTTGTGAGGTAGTTAGACATTAACACAGTTGGATTCCGGCTCAGTGGTCTAATGGTTAAGCGCTCACACGAGCGACTGATAAGTCCTGGGTTCGAATCTCGCGAGGCGGGATCACAGATGCGCACTGCTGAGGAGCCCCAAAACAGGACGATATGGCCGAACAGTGTTTCCAGGTTTTTCATGGTGGTCTAGCTTCAAGTGACTCATGATCTCAACCATTGAAATTAGTAAAGAATTGTTAAGCATTTTTAGTTTGACTTCAACGCTCAGATGATTATCTATCAGTTATTTTGTTAGAAAGCTTATTTTACATAAAATTAAGTTAGTCAAAGCCAGTAGAGAAAATAGTTTTTGGTAAACTCAAAGTAGCATAATCATACGACTTGAAATAATTACGTAAGTTATTATGATTTTTATCATTTTGTTAATAATTAACCATATCATAATCAGCAAAAAACGTTTTGGTGAAAAAAGTGTGTTTTTTCGACGACACACTAGGTAAGGTCGACGCCGTCTATGTCTGTTTATTAAAAAACACTACCTGATAGATAAAAGTTATGTTTACATCTTTTGGAGACTCATATTTTAAATTATCAAGGGAACCTTGAAACTACATATTTTTCGGGAAGAAAAGGCAATAATGTGAAACTCAAATTTTATATAATAATCTTATTATTTATGTATAAAGAAGACGTTTGAGCTCTCAAGTGGTAGTAAATATGTTAATAAAATTAAAGTTGAAGGGAATTACAAAACATTGTTATGTAATGTCAAAAAGTAACATGCTATAAAACAATAACAAAAATAGCTAACTATAGAAAAAATATAATGAACAGTGAATACAATTAGTTTTGCTTGTACATAGTCTCCCAACACTGAATACTTATCAAAGGTGTTTGAATAACGTGGGTGAGGTATTAGCAAATATGAAATTATCAGAAGGGGTTTTGTGAAGATTTTAGTGACTTCAGTAGTTGAAATCATGGGTCAATTGAAGCTAGACCACCATGGAAAACCTGGAGGCACTGTACGGCCGTTTCGTCCTGTTGTGGGACTCCTTAGCAGCGCTCATCCGAAATACCTCCCCCCAGCGAGATTCCAACTCAGGACCTATCAGTCTCGCGCGCGAGCTCTACACAATTAGACCACTGAGCTGGAATCCAACTTCAACCAGTCCTATACTAGGACGAAACGGCCGTTCAGTGCTTTTAGGTTCTCCATGATGGTCTAGCTCCAATTGACTCATGATTTCAAATATTGAAATATAAAATCATTTACAGACACTTTTAACTATCCTGTTATTATACATAGCAAAATAAATTGAAAATTTAGTTCAACAATTTCAACTTAACCTTTAACCATATTTGTATTACTAAACGGAATTGGATGTTTATGATAACGATACTGTTAATATTTTAACTATAGTCACATTATGTAACGTATATATATATATATATATATATATATATATATATATATATATATATATATGCGTATGCTTCATTTTAAGTAACATTAAAAAGGTTTAAAGTAAATATGTTTTTTCCGATAACCCAATGAGAAGACGAAGTTTACCAGAATTATGTGATATACATTTGCGCAATACATTTCGAACAATCTGATCACACATACGGAAACTGAAACCCCCTTTATACGTTCAAAAACAATGTCCTTATCCTTAATTTACCCTGGTAATATTGATTTATTATCCAGAGTGGTTATCACAATGATTTTATGTACTTCATTATTTTTTTCTTCGTTGTTACGGCTTGCCTTTAATCTGCCTTGTTAACCATATAATTTTCATATAAAAATATCTTAAAAAATATATGAGCTATATACTTGAACACTTAATCGACTATAATCATTCTACGGATCCACAGTTTGATTTTAAGGTTATACATATGATTCGTTCAGATCTACCTAGATTTCTTTATATCCAACTCCTAAAAATAGCCGAAGCTCTTACCATCCATGAGCTCAAAGCAAAACTATACGTGCAAAAGTAGTACGTCTTATCATCATCATTACCTCGCCCTTAATAATATTATTTCACTATTATTATTATGATTACTGCATTCCCCCTTTACTTATGTCTTATATTCTCATTGTTTTATTCATAAATACTCATCATATCACCTTATTTATTTTTACACCTTTATGACCTTTGATTATATCAACAAAAACTTTTTAATCATCTTATTATATTCACCAA